TTCTTCATGGAAAAATAAGACATCCCCTGAAAAGAAGACCTAGCGCATCTTTGGGAGCAAAAATTAATATAAGACGCTCTCTTATTTTCAGGGAAACAGGGTAGTTACATCATCGTGGTCACATCTCTGACCCAATTTCCTCATCTGTACAATGAATTGCTGTGGAAGTTAAATGTATATTAAGAATAGACACTAGAAAAACAAACAAAACCAAACTCGCCGCTATCAAGTTCATTCTGACCGATAGTGGCCCTCTGGACAGGGCAGAACTGCCCCAAGGCTGTAAATAAGTCTTTGTGGGAGCAAAAAGCCTCATCTATCTCCCGAGGACCTTGTGGTTAGCAGCCCAGCATGTAACCCATTACATCACGAGATAGTTTCTATAAAAGGTCTAGCAGAGTAGGCACTCGATACATGTTTTCTACAGTTAGCTCGCCTTTTGGTCACCTACTTGGGTAAAACCCAATGCCTTCCCATCGAGGCAATGCTGACTCAGTGATTCTATACAGAGTTCCCGAGGTTGGTAAATCCTCATAGGAGCAGAGAGCCTCATCTATCTCCCTTGAGGCTTCTGGTGGGTTTGAACTGCAGCGCCACCTGGGCTTGGTTTTGGGCAATTTTCCTTAATAGCTTTTCCTCATGAACAAAATGCAAATAATAGCACGCTACTACTAAGAATTACAGAGAGTCCACTGCATGTTGACGTATGAGAAAGCCTTGTGCAAGCCTTGGAGGGCAGTTACACTGTGATAGGAACCTGCTAGGCACTGTGGATATCAAAGATACACAAGGTCCCCAACCCTGTCCTCCAAGAACTTTTAAGTAGGGGAAGAGTAGAAAAACCTTCACGCTCCATTGAGGGCTCCCATTTCATGGCACTGGGGGAGATGAGGAACACGGGGGGTGCACCCAAGCAGCTGTGCAAAGCAGAAGCTGAGCTAGGTGGGTGCAGCAGAGACATCCCTGAGAACGGCTGTCTCCAGGGTGCCTGATATTCCTGTGTGTTTAGCCCCTGGCTCTGTGAAAACTTCTACTTTTCCGACCTACGCCAAGCTGCTGTCTTCTCTCCCTCTCCCAGCCCCCAGCTCCAATCCACGGACTTTTTTTCTCCGAGGCCAGCTAGCCACACACTGAAAGAAGGCCTCTTACTCTCCGGACTCACACACCTCTCTAGGCTGGGTTCCCAACCTGCTCCCGCTTGCACTTTACCTTCGATCCAGAGAAAGGCTGCTTTTGCTCTGGTCAAAAACTGTCCTGCCCTTTCTTTGATGCTGAGTTATTCCCTCGTCTCTCATGAGTTCATGCACCCGCAACTCCCCAAATGATACCCTTAGTGGTGTCTACAATGTCTGATAAGGTGTCAAAAAATTAAAACAACAAAACCCATGGGAGATTTGAATCAGACCAACAGCTTCCACTCCCGTCCCTAGCCAGGATCCCGGGGCACACCAAGCCAGAGCTGAAAACACCAGTATCTTGGGCTCTGGCTCCTGATTACTCCAAGTTAACTGAGTCTACCCATGC